TCTGGGAAGAGGCCCACCACCTACCTCACACTCTAGTTTAGTCTAGTGTAATCTAGTGTAGTCTTTCTGGGTAAATCCTGGACTCTGGGAAGAGGCCCACCACCTACCTCACACTCTAGTGTAGTGTAGTGTAGTCTGTCTGGCTCAATCCTGGGCTCTGGCAAGAGGCCTACCACCTACCTCACACTCTAGTCTAGTCTAGTCTAGTCTAGTCTAGTCTAGTCTAATGTAGTCTGTCTGGTTCCATCCTGGGCTCTGGCACGAGGCCTACCACCTATCTCACACTCTAGTGTAGTGTAGTCTTCCTTGCTCCATCCTGGGCTCTGGGAAGAGGCCCACAACATACCTCACACTCTAGTCTAGTCTAGTGTAGTGTAGTGTAGTGTAGTGTAGTGTAGTCTAGTGTAGTGTACTGTTGTCTGCGTGGCTCCATCTTGGGCTCTGTGGGAAGCTGCCTACCACCACCCTTAATAGAATAGATTAGATTAGACTAGATTGTGAGGTTGGTGGTAGGCCTCTTCCCACTAAGTCCAGGATGGAGCCAAGCTTTCTAGTGTAGTGTAGTCTGCCTTTGTTCCGTTGTGGTCTCTGCAGGAAGAGGCCTACCACCTACCTCACACTCTAGTCTAGTTAGTCTGCCTCGCTGCCTTGCCTCTATCATGCATTCCATGGAAATAGTGCTACCACTACCTCACTGTCTAATCTGTTTTCTTCACTTGCTTATCTGTTTTTCTTTATTACAGGTATAGATTTTGAATTCACTTCTATATAATGCCTTGTTCGTTTCTTAGCCTATACCTACAAATTTAAAAATAATTAAGGTAACATTCAGTGATCTTAAAATTGTTACATTATATATGCAATATCACTGTAATACCTGTCTCACATTTACCCCAAGTCTCATGAAATTTTCAGATCTATCTTCCCGTTGTGTTCCTATCGTAACTGTTTTTCCTTCTGTTTGGAGCCCTGTATCTGTTTAGGCATCCAGGCACCTCTACATTCACTCCGCTGCTGGGCCACTGCTCCCCTCTCACGTCAGCCTCAAAGATGCCGCCAAAGGGCAGGGCTCTTCTCACGTACGGGAACATGGTCCCCGCAGCTTTCCTCACCTCATGTGCTAAATAAATGTTGTGTTTCCCATGAATGTGTATATGGGATGTTTTAAGCACTTTCTGCAATAAGGGTCTCTTCCCGGCTGGCCTGCCTCTATGGTTGAGCATCAACCTATGAACCAATGGTTCATGCTTGGATTCCTGGTCAGGGCACTTGCCCAGGTTGTGATCTTGATCCTTAGTGGGTGTGTGCAGGAGGCAGCCAATCAAGGATTCTCTCTCATCATTGATGTTTGTACCTCTCCCTCTCCCTTCCTCTCTGAAATCAAAAATATATTTTTAAAAAATAAGGCTCCCCAACTTGCTACCAGATATTACACAGTCATGTACCTCTCCGTCCACCCCACCTGGAGTGAATGTGGGTAGGAGGGCATCTGACTCGTACCTTGTACCTCAGTGAACAGACACCATGGTTATTCCCCTGCAGGGGCTGTCCTCATAACAGCACAACATCAGAAAGGCCGCGATGCTTTACTTTAAGTTCTTGCTGTACCCATTCTTACCTGGGCGCTGTCACACCTACAACACATCTCTTTTCCATGACTTAGAAATAAGACGATTAAAAAACTGTGGTACATCTACTCAATGGAGTACTACGCTGCCGTAAAAAGGAAGGAACTCCTACAATTTGCAACAGTAAGGATGGACCTGGAGAGCATTATGCTAAGCAAAATTAGTCAAAGAAAGATAAATATCACATGATCTCACTCAGATGTGGGATATAATGATCAACATAAACTGATGAACAAGAACAGAGACAGAGAAGCATTGATCAGATGCTCAAACCTCAGAGAGAAGGTAGGGGAGGGCGGGGGTAAGGGGGAGAGATCAACCAAGGGACTTATATGCGTGTATATAAGCCTAACTAATGGACACAGACACCAGGGGGTGAGGGCATGAGTGGGGGGTGGGTGGGCAATGAGGGGATAAGGACACATATGTAATACCTTAATCAATAAAGAAAAAAAATAAGAATACACCTTATAAGTGTCCCCATGTGCACCAACATCGTGTATTACTAACAGTGTTGGGGAGATTCTAAGCCCTTTCCCTGGATACTAGTAAAGGGAAATGACCAGGGCAACTGATCAGAAAGGAAGTGAGGGGGCAGATGCCATGTATTTGCCATTCCCCCAGGATCTCACCTTCCTAATGAATCCAGGGTGGACGTTTTCCTCTTTGATATACTCATTACGTGGGAATTGGTCTCATCATGAAAGTAGTAACCACATATATTACAGACCTCTTCCCCGACCATATCCTGTAGCTTTTTTTTTTTTTTTTTTTTTTTTTTTTTTTTGTTTTTTTTTTTTTTTTTTTTTTTTACTTTTACAAACACGCTGATAAATATTTCTAAAATTCATTCTTTGTGCTTATCCGTGGCTTATACTTTGAATAATGAATATTTATTCTGAAAACAGAGACCATGGTCATTTCCCTTTCCACCCCGATTTGCCAATAAGGTCGATGAAAGAAGACCACTGCCCTATTATTCAAGAAAGAAAAGTTATCCTCTCTTGACCTTGGCCTTGACCAAGCTCCGTTCCTGAAGCATCAACCATGTGTTAGAGGGAGAGGGTGGGGCATGGCTGAGAGCTGGGGTCCCAGGTTGGTCTTTCTGGATTTGCCCCAGCAGGGCCCGGGCCCAGGACCCTGAGAGAATCGTGGGTTATTCCCACCGTTTCCCCATCGTAACGAGGGGTCCTAACCTTAACCCTCTCTATCCACTCCTCACCCTGGAGTCACATGGCCCATCCCAGAAACCTCAGGGGCATGAACTAAATCAGTTTGGAGAAATTTAAAGGATGCAGTTTCCATTTGCAAGGCACCGAGATCTCTCTCTCTCTCTCTCTCTCTCTCTCTCTCTTCCCCTCCCCCCCACCACACCCCCCAAGCCAGCAGCCCCGCAAGTGAAGCATGTCACAGGATTCTCATGGGTTGCTCTAGGAAGGTGCCAAATGACACCATCACTTTCCCCCCTTTGGTGCCATCACTTCTTCCTCCTCATGCCCAGGAGAAATCAGGGTTGACGTGAATGAAAACTTTGCCACTTCCTGAGTTGAGGTCTAAACCCTGGGCAAAATGCGCATACTTCAAGTTTCTCTGATTCTTCTATAAGGTCTCTAAAGTTTCTATAATGAAACGTCATAGGAAAAAAAAGACAAATTCAAGCAACGGGACCATTTCACTGATATCCACTCACCTGGGCCGCAGCATCCGACTCATTATTGAGGGAATAAGGAGAGGATACGTACCCAGCAAGCGGAGGAGGAGGAAAAGAACTCCCAGCGCGTAAGACTTGAGTTCAGGGCTGACTGTCCTACGTGCGCAGCGACGAGGAGGCAAGAGAGAGATTATCATCACTCCACGCAGTGGTTCTCAACCTTCCTAATGCCGCGACCCTTTCATACAGTTCCTCGTGTTGTGGTGACCCCCAACCATAAAATTATTTTCGTTGCTACTTCATAACTGTCATGTTGCTACTGTTATGAATCGTCATGTAAATATCTGATATGCAGGATGTATTTTCATTGTTACAAATTGAACATAATTAAAGCATCGTGATTAATCACAAAAACAATATGTAATTATATATGTGTTTTCCGATGGTCTTAGGCGACCCCTGTGAAAGGGTCGTTCAACCCCCAAAGGGGTCGTGACCCACAGGTTGAGAACTGCTGCTCCAAGGTAATTAACAGGCCCCGAGCCACACGCTGGGCCCAGCAGCACCCTTCCTGGGAAAGTTATCAGTGGGTTTTTCCCTCCACTTCCCCTGCCTCGAGTCTGGAAAATAATGGTAACTGCAGTGACAAGATACGTTTTTAATAAGCGGAGCTCATCTTGTCATGAAGACAGAATGCAAATCGGGCCCCTTCAGGCTTCACTGGAAGGCACCTCGCCTTGGCCAGGACAGGGAAGCACCTCGGGGTGACAGGCCCCACGTCCCCGGGAACGTCCCCTGGGAAGACATTCGCCCCGTGGCTCAGGCCAGAACCACGACACGGGGTCACTCTCGAGCCCTTTGGAGAAATCGACGGGACTAGCACGACTTGGCCCCGGGCGGCCCAGGGCGGTTAATCCAACTCTCTCGTTTCGGTACCTGCCCACCCCCCTCCCCCCGGGAAAGGCACCCGACAGCGTCACGCTTCCTTGTTGTGGACAGTCCCCACCTCCCTGGCTTGGGGCCCCCAGAACAGTCCCTGGAAAGATCTCTCTCACTTTCTGAACCTCAGAGTGGGCGTTCTCTGGGGAAACCACTCTGTACCATTTCAGCGAGGAGCTCGCAGGCCCGCTCTGCGGAATGTGCATGGCACACAACCCAAGCTCTTCACGCTGGGACCGGCTCCCTGGGTCCTATTTTTGCACATTCATCTGAGGGGACTGACTCTCTCCCGTGGGCCCTGCTTCTACTCGTGGTGTGAGGCCAGTGGGACCGATTCCCAGCAGCCTCGGACCGGCGGGGAGGGGACGTGAGGCGGGTCACAGGCCCGGGGGCCTTACCAGCTCACCTGATGAGGATGATGACCGAGGGCGTCTGGGCCATCGCCCCGATCATGCTGCAGACACACATCACGCACAGGAAGGTGAGGAAGGCCTCTTGGCAGCCGGGACTGGGGCACTTGCCGGGGACCACGGTGGCGTTCTCGGGCGGGCCGGTCAGGCACGCACAGCCCGTGAGATTCTGAAAGGAAGCAGCCAGCCCTTCTCAGTGGCACCGCCAGCGCCTCCATCCCAAGCCATCCATCAGCTGGAGCTGCGCAGCCCCATTACGCCTCCCGCAACCTCCCATTCATCAGGCCTGAGCAAACGCGTTCGCGTTTTAAGGAGGCTGCAGAACACACGCAAAGAAAGGCATATTTATGGGGGGAGAGCTAAGCCCCGTCTCCTGTGTATTTCATTTCCCTGCTGGGGATCCCTCCGTCGGCTGCGCTGTAGACAAACATGCCCCCTCCATACAATTAGAGAGGAAATTGTGCTTCCACAATATGATAAAACCTTGCCAATTAACACTGTAATTACCTGCCAATTTGTCCTCTCCCTCTCCTTCATGCAGTTATAATTACACCGAAGTGTATTAAAAGAAGTAAATCAGGCAACCTGCATCCTGCTGCTGGTCCGGTGCCCAGTGTGGCACTTGGAACAAAGCATGCGCCCTGTCAGGTGTGACGTGGCTGCCACTGTGGGGCCCAGAGAGGGGAGAGCTCAGGGAAGGTTCTCGAGGGGCCAGAAGGCAGAGAGATGCCAGGAGCTCAGGGCGGTGCTGGGGAGCAAGCTACAGCCCGGGAGCACCCTGATCAGCATATGATCAGAGGAGGAGAAGGAACAGCCACTGTCGCCCATGTGGCTTCCTGGATTCCATGTGCCCAGCCGCCCAGTCCCAGGCACCGCGCTCCCGCTGCAGGAATTCCTGATGGCAACGGGAGGGGCAGGGCTGGGAGAGGCAGTGGCTGGCAAGCAGCAAGCCAGTTAAGGCTGGATAATAACAGTGCAGGGCCCTTTAAGGGATGCAGGATGAAAACAATAACAAGCAACACACTGCTTTCCTTTCCAGGGCCGCTCAGCCTTCAGGGCACATGGGTGCGTCCTCCTGAGGGTCACCCCCACTTTAACCTCCTCCGCCCAGCCCCTCCCTCCTCGCCTCCTTCTTCCCCCTTCTTTTCTTTACCCACGGAACATGCGACAGGCTTTGCTTATCCCACAAAGTTACCTGGATGCTTGCAGGGGTGTCCAAAGCCCCCCTGCCCGCCTCCAACAGGCCCCCCTGCCCGCTTCCAACAGGGCCCCCCCGCCTGCCTCCAACAGGGCCCCCCTTTATGACTGTGCCCTGCACACGGGCTTATCCAGGGGCTGAGGACGGGGGACACACTATTGGGCTGGATCCTCTGTCCTGAGCAATCTGCCCAGAGCCGTGCCTTTGTGTGATTACAGCTCCAGAACTTACCCCCAGACAGACCTGCCTGGGCACGAAATGCCCTAAGTTTAACACGAGTCACAACACTGCGAGAGCTAAAGTTCTGCAGCCATTGGAGTGCCTACCTACAGGGGTTGGTTACACAGCCTCTAACAGATTCGCGGTGGAATACTATACAGCTGTCAAAAAGGTATGCGCTTGCTCTCTACGTACTGATATGAAAAGAACTCCAAGATAAGTCACTGACAACAAACCCCCACAAACAACAGGTACAGAATAAGACCCTAAACATTAAAACCCAGAAGGATAGCCTGCAAGAAACCAGTAATAGTGTCACCCACTGGGCAGAGTGGGGGTTGAAAAGTGGGAGGCCGAGGTAGAAAGGAGGGTTTTCACGCCCTCCTTTCTATACTTCCTGATTTTTGAACCGTACGAATGTATCATTTCTTTAAAAGATTAGAAAGTCTAGAACTTTAGAAAATAAAGAAACCAACAGACGAAGAATAACACAGTCATTGAGAGTCATACGCCTGTGCCAGGGCTCAGACATTCATTTCCATCGAGAAATGTTTCTATTCACATCCAATGATGGGAATAAATAATTACAATAAAGCCGAGACCATAAAAATAGAAAAATGACTCTCTGGGATCTTGGATTCGTTTCTGCTGCTGAAGGAAGGCAAACGCGTGCTATTTTGACAGCGCACATTACAAACACAAAACACTCGTCAGCAGTGTCAAAAACACTGGAGAATAAAGTTGTTTTTGTGTGGGTTCCCTGCACATTCAGTATGGATGGATCAATTTCTATTAATCGTACAAATAAACTAATTTCTAGGTTGGAAGATTACTTTTCTAAGGGGACAGCGATGGGAGAGATGATGTTCTATGTGTTGAGTCTGATGTGAAACGTGGGAAGTGAAGCCTGGCCAGTGTGGCTCAGTGGTTGAGCATCGACCTATGAACCAGGGGGTCACTGGTTCGATTCCTGGTCAGAGCACATGCCCGGGTTGCGGGCTCCATCCCCAGTGGGGGGCATTCAGGAGGCAGCCGATCGATGATTCTCTCTCATCAGTGATGTTTCTACCTCTCTCCCCCTTCCTCTCCAAAATGAATAAAAACATAAAACAAAAACAGACATTTGGGAAGTGGAGAGTCCCTCCCAACAGTCTGGAATACGGATTTGCTTTTCTTTCCGAAATGCAGTCAGCTGCGAGGAAGGACTGGCAAGCCCTCGTCCTGTATCTGGAAAGGGTTGCGGCCTCCCCTCCTCTGTGTGACCTGCTCCTCACTGAGGCGGCAAAGGGCCGATGAATGGCCTGGACGCTGTCCTGAGTGACACCTGCTCCTCTGTGTTCTAGACGTTATGATTTCGGGGCCAGAGAATGCTCTGGAGTGGAGATCCTCTGGTCTCAGGGCACAGCCTCCACTTAATTCTCCCAACAGGACAATAACCAACACCGATTTGTAATGTAACTCCTTGAATATTAATGACATTGGTGTCACGAGGAAGAATAGCTTGTGTTTTCACTTTCACCCTCTCCGGGCTCCTTCCCTTTTTAAAAAATTCATTTCCACTCACATCAAGAAACTGCTTTATCATCTAATTTAAGAATCAGTTCTTCTCCCCCCACCCCCATGGTTATTTATTTTCTCTATAGAAAAAAATGTTAATAACGGGCTAGGAATCTAAATGCTAAAAGCAAGGGGAATACATCTTTGGAAATGAAAATAAACGGTCCGTGTTTCCTACTGCGAAAAATGGCTGCTCCCCAAAGACACGGGATGAGGCAAGGACAGGAAGCAGGTAATTTCGATTGTCGGTGCCTTGAGGGCAGCACCCAGCCCTCTTCTTCTCTGGCCTCCCACCGGGGCGTCCCTGGGCCCCCAGGAAAGAGCAGGGTGGATGCCAGCCGGCCACTCCGTGAAATGAGACAGCCGCCTCCAGGACAGACAGGCACCAAGAACCCCAAAGGCAAAGGAGGGGAGGAGGGTTTCACACAGGAGGGGCGGTTGGAGTCGTCCCGCTGCAGGGGGAAGCAGGGAAGCACGTGTTGTGTGGGACAGGCTGAGCGTCACAGACTGAGAGGAGGTGTGGCTGGGACAGACACATGCTGAGGACGCAAACCCAGGGCCGCCTGGCTCTTCCCTCCCAGCTCACAGAGCAGCCTTGGCAAAGGGCCTTGTAGCCTCACAGAAATCATTCTGGCTGCAGCGTGGAGGACAGACCAGAAGGGGGCCACCCTGAGCTGGGAGACCAGTTAGGCAACCACCGCCCTGGTCCAAGTGAGAGATGAGGAAGGCCCCTAGCAGGGCGGGGGTGGCGTGGATGCCAAAGGGCAGGGCCAGAGACCCTGCAGGTAGGACCCGCCAGAGCTGGTGACCAGTCACTTGGCATCGGGTTTCCATGCGGAGAACATGGGAGGCGGCAGGCTCCTGCCAGCTGTGTAATTCCAGCCAAGAAGGAAAGAGCCGCAAAAGGTACCGTGGGAGATGGAGACGCAGAAGGCCAAGGGCGCTGCATAGGGAAGAGGCCGAATTGATGCCACAGTCTCCGCTGTGGAAGAGGGCTCCCTGTCATGGCTTTCTAGCCTTCCCTTGCATACTCCTGCTGCCGGGGAGCTCATTACCGCAGAGTCGTCCTCCCCCACGGACCCTGGCGAGTGCCTCGGGCCAGTCTTTTTCTCTGGCTCCACATGTGCAGCTTCCTCTGACTGTTCCCTTTCCTTTGCTCAGAGACGCTTTTGGGAAACCAATTTGACCCTGGCGAGTGCCTCGGGCCACAGCCTTTTTCTCTGGCTCCACATGTGCAGCTTCCTCTGAACATTTCCTTTCCTTTGCTCAGAGACGCTTTTGGGAAACCAATTTGATTTAGCAAGAAGGGCCCAGCTGTCCCCTCCTCCCACTGATGGAAAACCCTTCGCCGGAGCGGGGCGGGCTGAGAGAAGACCCAGTGTGGTTGCCCACGCCTGCCCCTGCCCTTCGGGTTTAAGCCGCTGCAGCTGCCCGCGTCCCCGCTCCCTCCCGCGTCCTGAGGAAACCACATACCGTGCTGTTGCAGCCAGCGAAGCAGGCAGACAGGTAGGTGACGCCGTCCGCCCCGCACACGGGAGTGAAGGAGTCGGTTTGGCATTCACAGTTTTTATTGCAGGGTGAGTAGGGGTCCAGGGCTGCACCAGGCGCTGAGCTGGAAAAGAAAGAAAACACAGAGCCAGTCAGAGAAAGGCCAGCTTCCCCAGGACCCCCAGGGACATCTCTTTGCTGGGATGCGTCACCCCCTTGCGTTTCCTCCTCTTAACCCGCTTGTCCTGCAACATGCAGCCCAGAGCCACCGCTGAGCGTCTGCGGGCTGCTCCCCGCACCATGGAGCCAGGCTGGCTGGCTGGCTGGCTGGTGGGAGCTCTGCTCAGGGCCACCTCCTCCATGCTGCCTCTCCGGATTACCACAGCCTCCACTGGGCCAACAGCTCCACCCAGCACAGCTGACCACTAACGTCTCCCCCCTCTCCAGTCCCTGTCTCGGTTTGATTCCTCCCAGCAGACAGCAAGCCTCGTGGTGCCTAACAAACTACTATGACGAGGCTGCTTCAGTAATTACTGTCTGCTTGAGTGTGCTGATTTCCTGCGAAAAATAACACTGAGATATTTTAAATTTGCTTTTGTACCACTAAAGGCACAGTGACCTTGAGCAAGCAAATTGCAAAGAGGAAGGGGCAGAAGGGGTGTTTTTAGTGTGTAAGAGGGAAAGGGTCTCTCCTTGAGCCCAGCTCCACTGCAGCTTCTGGCTTAACTGCAGAAGTGGGCCTGGCGGCCTGCCTGGAGGAGGCGGCCAGGGAGGAGAGGAACTGCAGGCCAGCTGTGCCACAGCCTCAGCTCCAGGCTGGCTTCTCAAGGCAGCCCGAGTCCCATGTAGAAAAGGGGAAGCTGTCAACACCGGCATCTAAGGGTAGTAACTAGACAGTAAGAAAAGTTCCTTTGCTTCGCCTCTCCCTTCTCTCCTTTTTATTCTCCCTCCCACACTTACCAATTCCTACCCAGGGCAGAGCCTGTAATTACCGTGTGAGCGTAATAATAGCTCCATTAGTCTAGGGAACTGTTGACGCCTATTCCATCTTCTACTTGAAGCTGAATATTACAATAAAATCATTTTTATTTCCTATCTTCACATTATTCCCACAGTCAGACATGAGAAGCCGTAATGTGAGTCCTCCGGGGAGTGATGTCTGACCGACTCCCCGGCGTCTGTCCGCTGCCCTGGGCGAGCCGTCGAGGGGAGTGGTCTGCCCTCCCCGCCCAGGGGTCACCCGATTCTCTGACCTTGGGAGTCAGATGCAGAGGCGCCATCCACTCCTCCGCCCGGGTCCCTACGCGTGAGGGGGAGCCGGCCTGCGGGGCCGCCGGGCAGAGCAGACATGCGGGACTTACGTGTTTCCATAGGGAACCGTGACCCCGGCCACCGGGCCCGTGTCGCAGCCCAGGAAGAGGAAGGAGACGTAGCAGGCCGTGGACACCAGGTTGACGAGCATGGCCATGCGGATGGCGCCCAGGGCGGACAGGCTGAGCTTCTTCACCAGCAGGCCGCCCAGGAAGATGCCCAGGCAGGCGCAGGGGATCGCCGTCATCCCTGGAGGGCAGAGGGCGGGCCGTGAGCAGGGGCAGCGGGGCCTCCCTCCCGGCCGCCCTCCCGGTGCCCAAGTCTCCATCAGGGGCCTCATCTCAGCCCTCGAGGAGCTCACAGAAAGCTGGGGAGTCACACACGTACCAACTCCGTTCCCAGGCGTCTGAATGCCCCCCTATCGTGTGCGTGAGGTGCCCGCACAGAAACACAGCTGGTGTGGGGACGACCGAGAAACATAGACATATTCCAGGGACGCACACGCGCTCTGAGAAAGGAGGACCAGGAGCCGGGGCGCTCTCCGCGCTGCTGAGTGACCGGGTCCGGGGCTGCCACTCACAGGGGATGTCCCCTCCTCTTCTAACCAGGCCAGGGGTGCTCCGCGGAGGGGCCAGGAGCTGTTTAGCCAGAGGGCCCACAACCGCCAGCCCCAGACGGCGCTTTAAGCAGCCCCAGAGCCTCACAGGAAATAGCACCAAGCCAGTCAGTATATTCTGGGGCTCTTGGTGAGTAACTGGCATACATTTCCCCCCCCTCCTCTCTCTCTCTCTCTCTCTCTCTCTCTTATAAACAGAGCCATCTGCAAGGCAGCAGGACCAAAACCTGTTACTTATGATTCCCAGAGACTCGTGGGATTTTAGGGCGACCAACGGGCTTCATTGAAAACTCGAATGTAAATGACCACGGGCGTCATTTGTCCACGGGGTGGATTGTGCGGCCAATTTCCCGGCCCAGCAGGCCTCCTCCTTGCCAATCAACAGATCCTAGGTCAGTCGACTGTATCAACCAGCTGCTATGTGCTCAGGGAATGCAAATTAATTTTAATATTAGAGTCAGAGAAATATAATCAGGGAGGTTGAGCTCTGTAAGAAAATAGCACAGAGTGGAAGGGAGAGGGGGAGAGAGAGAGAAACATCAATGATGAGAATCATCGATCAGCTGCCTCCTGCACACCCTCTGTGGGGATCGAGCCCGCAACCCGGGCATGTGCCCTGACCGGGAATCAAACTTGGTTCATAGGTCGACACTCAACCACTGAGCCACACCAGCCGGGCTCTGGATGCTCTTGCCATATTGATTATGAGCAGGACAGCCTCCTCCCTCCCGGGGGCTGAGGCGGACTCACCGAGCAGCTGGTTGGCAGAGGAGGTGGTGAGGTTAAACTGCTGCTCCAGGTACTTCCCCAGGAAGGCAGCGAAGCCGGCCACCACCGCGATCTCCATGCAGGCGGCCAGGACGATGCAGGTGAACACGGGGTTGGAGAGCAGGTGCTTGGTGACCTTGGGGATCACTGAGGGGGAGAGAAACAGGGGCCAAGGTCAGACGCACGGCACTCCCAGGCCCTCTGCCCACAAGGTCCTTCTTGCCTGAGTCAGTCAACAGCAGTGGAATCACCCAGCTCCTCAGGCCCAAATCTATGGCCCGTAAGTCACCCTCAGCTCCAAACTCAGGCTGAAAAGTACTAAAACGGGAGACTATAACATGCCTGTTATTACAGTTTAGCGGGAACACTATATGTTTTATAAGCACAACTTATCAAAAATGTTTTATAAGCAATCACAACTTATTCCCCCCCAAAAGAAGACTGGGTTTCTCAAAAGGGAAAATACACCTAAATTATATGTTATAAATAAATTATAAGTGTATAACTATGTTCTATCAACATATCTACCTATCTATATATATATGTAATTAACATTTTCAACTGTATGTGCACTTAATCTGAACAATTCCAAGAAAGAAAGGAAATTCCAGGCTCTCCCATATCCATTCATAAATATATAAACTCCCCCATCCTTGCCTCCACCACCTTCACGGCCACCTCCCTGGACAGAGCTGCCAGGGCCTCTCCCCTGGGGGATCACCGCACAGCCCAACTTGGTCTTAGTTCTCATTCTTGAACCGATGCCATCACTCCCCACCCGGCAGCCAATGGGATCAGCTCCCATCACGTGCCTGCTCCCAACTCCACCATGGACACAACCATGCCCAGCGATGGCCCGGGGTCTGCCCCTCAGCGGTCTGGTCACACTTGCCACCTCACCCCTCCTCCCTCCAGCCCAGCCCCACATGCTGAGCTGTTATCGTGAGCACCCGGCTCCCCACCCAGACGTCTGCTCCGGGGCTGTTTCCTCAGGGGAGCACTCTGCCCCAGGTCTTTGCTCCCCATGTTCCTCCTTCCTCAGGTGGTCCTCCCCCACCCAATCCACCCAGCCCAGAGCCAGAGCAGGGCTTGTTGGGGGAACCATGTTAATCTCATTTCATTGCACTGTATTTCTCTTAAAGTATGTGGGTTCAGAAACCACTAAGATTTCCTTTTTCATTAGTGCTTTTAAAAACAGTGCAACAACCTATGAACCCAGAGGTCACTGGTTCGATTCCTGGTCAAGGGCACATGCCCAGGTTGCAGGCTCGATCCCCAGTAGGGGGCGTGCAGGAGGCAGCCGATCCATGATTGTCATCATCAATGTTTCTCTCTCCCTCTCCCTTCCTCTCTCTGAAATCAATAAAACAAACAAAATTTTTAAACAGTAATTTTCTTTTTAAAAAAGTTATAAAAATAAAAATGGGATATTTGGTTTCTTTTTAATTCTTTAGAAGTAATCTTATTATTTGGATATTTCCCATGATTAGCATCCTTGGTATGTGGCCTCTGACCAGATCTCCTTCACTAGGTGGGGCCATGGATCCTGCCAGTGCCAGCAGGCCCCGGGGACACCCGCACAGCCCATCGTGTCAACAGTCACACCGTTATTTTACTTTGTTATTATTTTTCCCAGTTTTTCATTCTCTTGGCCTTTTCCATGCAATCTCCAATTTGTATCCCTTTCTCAAAATGTAACTAATATTTATCGAGAACCTAATCTACACCAGAAATAGATGCTTTATGCATACATGAACTCATCACACCTCTCTCTTAACGTGCACTTACAAAACAGTGAACTGAACTATAACATACATCAAGTGTGACGCTGCATGGCGACCATAGCTTGGGACGATGCTGGGTTAAAACGGGGAGGTTTAGAGCTACCCATGGGCAAGTCTGATGTGAGTAATGGGCCCGGAGGGAAGCAAAGAAGGCAAACATCTGTATAAGCGGAGTGCAGTGACCACGCCAGGGGCTCCGCCCGGCTGTGACCACAGCAACGGGCATTACTTGGCATGTGGCGTGCTGGTTTCCACCTTCATGGAAGCAAAAGCTCAAGCACATCCCAGGTCCCGGGAGAACCGGTCGGTGGCGGGGTCACGGAATAAGCAGGTAAGCAGGAGCCTAGCACACCCCCAGGTGATGAATTAGCCAGCTGTCCTCAGGCACGCACCTAACTACACAGGCTTAACCGCATCTCCGGGGAGACAGAACCTCTAAATGGCCCAGCTAATGAGAATAAAATAATAATAGAGGACACGAAAGCTTTTAATAATGGTAACAGACAAGCTCAATAAATCAGAATGACAGGACAATGGGTCGGGAACTGCAGATACACAAAACTTAAACTCATCACACTTGGGAAAGACGCCAAGTTTCAAAAAGCGAATCTCTATGGAAGAGGGACCGAGGCTCCTTTGCCGTAATGGGAGAAACTTAGTTATGAGAATGGACTGAACAGCCGACAGCGGCTCAGAATCACGTGGCTGAGGGACCCAACCCCACAGCCCCGCTGAGAAACCACCAGGCCACACTGCGCTCGTGGCCTCCGTGGTTCTGTGGGCAGCTTCCTGTTAAATTACTAAAACCTTCGGGAGGCGGCTCTTGGATTAAATAATTGCATGCCACACACACACAGAACAAAATCTTTTAAACAGGCATGAGTAAGAATAACAGCGTGGGGACTCCACCTTCAGTCCACGGTATCCATCCACGTACCCGCTGCTTCACTGCGCGTATCCTGGCCTGTAGGGGCGTGTGTTTATTTTTCACAGGGTTTGGAACATGCTGACAATCTGACTTTTTAAGAAATGTCATTTCAAAGAAATGTCGACAAGTGTTCACACACTAAAAACCTGTGTTTCAGTGTTGAGACATTGTCCTTTGTTACGTACACATTGTTTCTGGAAGTATTGCAGGGGTATCTAGAGGGAGGCTGATGGTTAAGTATGGGCTGGGCCCAGCCGGTGTGGCTCAGAACCAGGAGGTCACAGTTCCATCCCAGGTCAGGGCACATGCCTGGGTGTGGCCTCCATCCCCAGGAGGGGGCGTGTAGGAGGCACCTTATCAATGATTCTCTCTCATCATTGATGTTTCTCTTCCCAGGAGGGGGCGTGCAGGAGGCACCTTATCAATGATTCTCATCATTGATGTTTCTCTCTCTCTCCCTCTCCCTTCCTCTCTGAAATCAATAAAAACATTAAAAAAAAAGATCGCAAAAGGGCTTTCGTTCCATCAACCCCCCGCTGACTCCCTTTTTCCTCCTCGGTTGGTTCATTATCAGTTGAGTGAATCCTTGTGCAAAACACTGGGACGAGCTCGGAATTTAGAGTCTGGAGACCTGGGCCTAGTCCCGCTGTCCCGATGGGTGGCACGAAGGCAGTCACACCCACCTCATCGAGCGGACGAGCGGGCAGCTGGGCGAGTGCTCTGGGAGTCATTAGCCACTGCACACTGTGGGGCCGCCTGTGAAGGCTCTGAGCCTGATCAGCCGCCCCCGCTGTCCCCGCTGTCCCCCGCGCAGCTATAATTTCTGGGACAGGCAGGGGCCGCTTGGCCGTCAGCGTGACCAGCACACAGACGAGGACTCAGCCTTTGAAGCTCTGCTCTTTCAATGATCAAAGGCAGGGCTCTGCCTCCAGGGTTTAACGGCTGGGACCTGCCCCCGGGAAAGCCCACCCGAGGGTCAGGACCTGCCAGCAAGGCTCGCAGGGAGTCAGGCACAGGCCTGGGAAGCAAATCATGCAAAACAAGGTCGATTCTGCCTCCTGTGCCCCCTCAGCCCGTCCTGGTTACCAGCGTCCCCCTGCCCTCGATCCCCCCATAACCTGGCCGCCCGCGGAGGAGGCGCCTTACCTTTCAGCTGCTGGAAGCAGGAGGCGCTGCTGTCCGGCTCCAGCGGGTGCCGCAGGACCCCGTTGCTGGGCGGGGGCCTCTCGTACTCCCTCTCGGGGAGCATGGCCTGCTCGCTCTCCACGGTGGGGTCGGAGTGCAGGGGCAGGGACTGGGGGAACCCGAACATCAAGAGGGAAGAGAAGAAGAGTAAGGCACCGCAGAGCAGAAAGCCGGCCCACCAGGCTCCAATCCAGCGGGGGTCGTCCGGGGTGATGTCCAGGTTACCTGCAACCAGGAGGAGCGCGGTCAGCGGAGGGGGCGTGGCGGGGCCTGCACTTGGCTCATACACACACACATGCATGCACACAAACATTTATTATCCAAGGGTAGAGTTTTACTAGGTATACTCATTTGCACCTCCCCCTCCCAAAGCAGTTAATCTGAAATCCCATTCAACAGCCCACTCCCTGCTTTAAAATATATATATATATAGAGAGAGAGAGAGAGAGAGAGAGAGCAGAATATATATATGTATATATATACATATGTTGTTTATTTATTTATTTATCTATTTATTTATTTATTTATTTATTTTTAGCAAGAGGAAGGGAGAGGGAGAGGGAGATTGAAACACCGGTGATGAGAGAGAAACATGGATCGGCTGCCTCCTGCACATCCCCTTCTGGGGATCGATCCTGCAACCCGGCATGTGTCCTGATCAGACTCAAACCATGACCTCCTGGCACATGGGCTGACGCTCAACCACTGAGCCACACTGGCCAGCACCCCACTCCCTGTCTTAAATCTGCTTCAGAGATCGTAAGGCGTGGCACAGAAGTCAAAAGCCGAGACGCCTGGACTGAAATCCCGCCCACTTCTCGCTGTGTGACCTCAGGCCAGTGATTTGAAGCCCGGGCGTCAGCTGACCTATCCGTAGGTACCACCGTGATGACAATGACAGCATTGCCGCACCACGCTGGGGAAGATCGAGTGACCACAGGAGAACTAAAGGGCTCAGAAGGTGCCTGGCGTGAGTGTGGGCACTGAATCGATGATAACGTCATATTTATGGCTGGGGCGCTGCCTCCAATCTGCCACGGGCAGGTTAATTCAAACCTCGTGGGGCCTGTGGTTTGGGGCCAGGCCTCTACTGGAGAGCTTGCAGCCGGCTCGTACGCTTAGAGGCAGCGGCCCTGAGTGCGGCTCTTTACACTGTCGTTTCTTTGATTTGCCAGCTGAAGGCATCCTGGTGCGGGTTTTTTCTCTCTCCATGGCAGCGCTCCAGATGAGCTGCTTAGAAATGTCTCTTTGCTGAGAATTTCATGTCCCCGGAGCCTGGAGGGGACTCTTGGAGACCAGGGCCACGCACAGGAGCTAAGAACCAACAGGGCTGGGGCCTGGGGCAGGCGGATGGACGGACTTGGGAATAAAAAGGACCAAAGACGCCAGATGACCAGCATCTGTCAGGGGCTCTCCCCGCAGACTCTGTAGCCAACACCAAGGCAAATGCCACCATCATTTGCTGCGGCTCAGGCACGGTGTGTCCTCACCATGCAAGCCAGCCCTTCCGACGGCCCCGCATAGTCTTCTATGATCCCCATTTTCCCCAGCTGGAGAGAGCGAGGCTCAGGAGGTCAGGGACCAAGCCCAAGTTCACGGAGCGGAAGGTAGGATACAGGCATTCAGGCGCCGGCATGCTCTGACCCCAGCCAAGTGGCTTTGCGCATGCTGCCGGCGGGGGGCGGGGGGGTTCGTTCTGGTATCGGGGGTTCCCAAGAAGACCACGGAGGCTCGGATCTGGTCTGAGAAATGTCTCTTCTCAGATGCCTCCTTTCTCTCCCCATCTGCACAATGAAGGGCACTGTTAGGAGGCGTTTTCGGACCTGGTCTGAGAAACGTCTTCTCAGATGCCTCCTTTCTCTCCCCATCTGCACAATGAAGGGCACTGTTGGGAGGCGTTTCAGCTCCTTATGGTGGAACTCCCTCCACCCGCGCAGCAGGTGACTGTCCAGCATTCTCGACGTGGAGGGGGAACCGTCCATGTCGGCTAGCGAGCAGTGGTGCGGCAGACATCACCAAGGTCTACATTTGGGTCTTTTCCTCTGAAAACAAGGAGGATGTGGCCTTGCACCATCGTTTTGACAGTAAAATCTGAGGGGGGGGGGCACACGTCACGCCCCTTCTGAGGGGAGGTAGGTACATATAAGCCGGCGTGCCACTCGCCATGCTCCGTGCCTCTGGTCATGGGAGCGTGTGAAAGCTCCTGAGGTGGTACCAGAGGCTACAGGGAACAACTGTCCCTGCTGACCTGCACTGTGCTAGGCAGGCACGTTCCCTCCTTCATCTGCCCCCAGCAGGGCCCCCGAGGGCCGCTGGCGCCTCCCCACAATCCCAGACCGTGCCCTTCCCGGTCCCGCTATCTCTCAGGGGAATTTCAGGAGCATGTGCTGGGTGGGTGGCCCCTTATATTCACGCTTAAGGACACACTCCCACAGACCAGACAGTCCTAATGGGGGGCTCGGTCTTGGTGAGGAAACGATAGAGGAGGGTCATCCCTAAAAAAACTGAGGGCCCCTCCTTCAAGCACAGCCCCAACCCATTCAGAGACAGAGCGCCTTTCAGTCACAGGCTGAGAAGAACAGTCGCTCCAGAATTCCATTTCTCCAACACAAAACATTGTGTTCTCCTGCCCTCTGCCCGTGAGAAGCAGCACCGCAGGCCCATGGCCTTCAGAGGGGAAGCAGACAAAGACGGGGAGTGACTCCCATTCCTGACACACACCAGGCAGACCCACCATGAACTTGTTAGGGGGAGGCTGTCGTCAGCAAGTCGGACATGGGAGGCTCCACGCTGCCCATGAGCTTGAACCCCGGAGGAGGTGGCTTCACGGTGGGCCCCGAGGGGTGAGATGATGGACAGAATGGAGACAGCACGTGTGTGTGGCTGCAGGGACAGCATGGCCAAGGCTGGCACCCCGAGGGGACCGGGAGCAGACAAGCTAGGCCGCCTCCAGCCAGCTGGCCAGCCCTTGCTACTAGGCACTAAGATGCCAGCTCATGCCCTGGGGGAACGTGGGGATGGGCCTCCTGAAGTGGGAATGCCCTCACCCCGACCCAGGACGCCTGGGCTTATACAGACCCACCCCTCGGGTCGGCACGCCCCTGCCCCTCTCTCGGCCTCAGTTTCCTGATTTGTACAAAGGAGGAGCTGGAGAGAATGATGTCTGAGGTTCTCTCTGGTTCCAAGATTGTGTTATCCACAGGCCTTGATTCAAGGGGCCGCTGCTCATATGCCAGGGCTGATGCTGCCTGGCCATGCGGCTCCCCCTCCCAGGCAGCTCCCCTCACACTGGGAGGGCGCCCCTTCCCCACCCGCCTGCTGTTCCTGCTGGTGTGGCCTCCGGTGAGGTGGCGGAAGCTGGCTTTTTTGTCAGATAAGTAAGATGGCAGCCGACTCGCTTCACGTGTTGTTTCTCGGACCCTCGTCCCCTTGGAATAGGATTCAAAGGGCCAATCAACTCCGCCAATGCAGCCTTCCCAGACCCAGGCCTTTGAAGAATAAATAAGTAAGGCTGCTTTTTCTTTTCCCCCTTGGAAATTTGTAACATCATTAGCTACAAGTAAATATATCAGCGGGATTAATGGAGTGAATCACAGTGACTTGATTGGATTTAAAGCCGCATTATTTCTTTGGGGTGAATCAGTAAATTTGGCCCTGCCGAGTGATGATGGATGGAGAACTCGGGGACTGGGAGTTCTTATTGATCCCGGGGATAGATCGGCAGCGAGAGGTGGGATTGCTTTCTGCACGCTGTTTTCAGAGAGAGAGGCCACGTGGCTCCACACTCATGTAACTGCTCAGGAATAGAACACCCTCTCTCGGGCTTGAGGTAGAGCGGTGCCACCCAGGCAGGCAGTGACAAGGCAACACCCAGCGGTCCCCACCCTTGGCATTCGCATCCTTGTATAGTCATCCCTTCTCTGCGTGTCGCACACGGGATGCAGCAGAGGCAAGGAGATGTCACTTCTGAGACTGGATTATAAAAAGACCGGCTGGCCCAGCCGGTGTGGCTCAGTGGCTGAGCATCGACTCATGAACCAAGAGGTCCTGGTTCAATTCCTGGTCAGGGCACATGCCTGGGTTGTGGGCTTGGTCCCCAGTAGGGGGCGTGCAGGAGGCAACCGATAGATGTCTCTCTCATCCATATTTCTATCGCTCTATCCCTCTCCCAGCCTCTCCATCTAAAATCAATAGAAATACATTCTTAAAAGAGAAAAGAAAAAGGTGCAGTCCTCACATAGGTGAATGGACCAGCATTCGATGAGCACTTGCGCATGCCTGGCATCTCCATATCTAGTTTCTCATTCATTTCTCACCACAGCCCAGCGAGGAGGCTACAATCACCATCGCCATTCATTTACAGATGAGGGCAAAATCCACCTTAGGGAGCTACTCAGCCCCAGCAGATACTGGCAGGGCACGGACTTGAGTCCAGGCCCCCTCTCTCTCTCTCATCCATGTTTCTATCGCTCTATCCCTCTCCCATCCTCTCCATCTAAAATCAATAGAAATACATTCTTAAAAGAGAAAAGAAAAAGGTGCAGTCCTCACATAGGTGAATGGACCAGCATTCGATGAGCACTCGCGCATGCCTGGCATCTCCACATCTAGTTTCTCATTCATTCCTCACCACAGCCCAGCGAGGAGGCTACAATCACCATTGCCATTCATTTACAGATGAGGGCAAAATCCACCACAGAGAGCTACTCAGCCCCAGCAGATACTGGCAGGGCACGGACTTGAGTCCAGGCCCCCTGAACCCGACTCGTGCCCCTTCCTTCTGATCTCAGGCGAGCCGCCAGCTGCACCACAGGTGCACACAGTAGGGCTGCCTCCAGCTAGGACGGTCTCAGAACCACAGGCTGACCGCTCCCCGTTCCCAGGCCCAGGCAGGGGGGGAGGCTTGTGACGGCGCTCGGAAACCGAGGGGTGTCTCTTACTTGTATCAATGAACACAGCGTCCACGTAGATTTTGGTACAGAAGGAGCCCAGAATGAACCCGCAGGCGGGTCCAAACACCAGCATTGTGAACAGGATTCCTGGAGAAAGAACAGGAGACACAGATTAGATTACAAAGCCCAGGGCGTTCCATGAGCAACACAGTCAAAGGGCAAGGACACGGCTCCAATCAATAGGATGAGGTGTCTGATTATATAAATCACATTGTAGGAATCAGCCTAAAATCCTAGAGGGGAAAAGCCTGCATTTCTAATTTTCGGAAACCCCATGGAACACTGTATTGTGCAGGTATCCTAAAAAAATTTTTAAATATATTTTTATTGATTTCAGAGAGGAAGGGAGAGAGAGAGACAGAGATAGAAACATCAATGATGGGAGAGAATCACTGATTGGCTGCCTCCTGCACGCCCCCTACTGGGGATGGAGCCCGCAACCTGGGCATGTACCCTGACTGGGAATTGAACTGTGACCTCCTGGTTCATAGTCGACACTCACCCACTGAGCCACATCGGCTGTTCGAATCCTGTAATATTTTGATTGGTCAATCAAAATCAAAATGTTTGTGGGTCCCCCATACACTTACTTTCCAAGAATTTCACCCCTATCACATGAAGCATATTAAAATACAGACACGTCTATCACCAAACCATTTTTCTGCCATAAACATTTTTGAAAGAATTTCTATAATTTTGCTTTTTCCTTTATTTGGCACTATGTAATTTGTTTAATTTACGGTTGGCGACGATTTCTCAGCACCCATTGTGCAAACTCAGGAATCCTCGGACGGAAGAAAAATTGAAGCCACAAATTATTTCCAAATGTGATGAGATGTTTATGGGCATGAAACTTAGCAAGAAACAAATCTGACATAATGGCGTGCTCTGAGAACGTCGGATTAGGTAGGTATCCATTTCGATGTTGCAGATTTTAGCGTTGCTATCTGTTGTTCCAACAGTGGCTCAGGAGTCAGGCTTCCCTGCTGACTTAAAAAGATGGTGCTAGCCCGGCCTGTGTGGCTCCCTGCCCAGGTCCCAGGCCCAGCTCCGGTCCCTTCCTGGCCACGGACCTGCGGCCACCGTGGCCTCATGGGACAGCCTGATTTGCTGGCCGTGGCCGAGACAACACTGGCAGGGCAGGGACCCGAGGAGCTGAGGGCTGTGTGCGTGACACAGGAAAGATCACTTCAGGGGAAATCCGTGCTTTCCTCCGAGGAGGGATTTGCTGATAAAACCTCGAGGAAACCGACGGGGATCTCTACGCAGCGTCTCGCTGGCCAGGGCACGTGGGCGCGTGCTTCGGCCTCGTTAGGACTGAAAGTGGTCTAGTTGGTCCTCTGTTTTGTCTGCGTATGACGGAAGCACTCAGAACGGGGCACAGCCCCCTATTAGCCTTCCCTGAGGCAATGTCTTTCTTCAAGTCGTCCCTTCCCAGGTACCTGAGCTCAAACAAAAATACTCATGACCACTGACAAGGTTCATGTCACCATACTCTTGTTATAAATGGAAGAACAGAGCTCAGAGAGGTTAGTCAGTTGCCTCGGGGACACACAGCTCGTACATGATAGAGGGACCTTTGAACCCAGGCTCCAGGGCCACCGAGGTTCTACAGAAAGACCAGGAGGCGAACCCTGGAACAGCAGTGAAGGCGCTGGGATCAGCCAGACCTCAGCTGAGCGTGGAGATAAGAAGAGCTGCCTTGCAGCACACTGGGGATTACATGCGGTGCACACAACGCGTATCCTAGAGCCCTTTCTGTGCCTCGGGGATGGTGAGTCCCAGGAGGGCGGCCTGCATGCGGTCTCCCCTAGGCAGGAGTCTGTTTCCTTAGCTGGACTCAGAGTCATGCTAAGTCCCTCCAAGTGGGTGGAGTGCAGAGGGCGCCCAGGTCGGCTGTGGCTCTTCGCCACTAGATGGCAGCATCAGCCTAGAGAAGACAGAGACTGGGCTGTGTCCGCCACTTCCTAGCCGCCCCTGAAACATAACGCCCACTCCCCGGCTGGCATAATACTGTTCTCACTCCCATGTGCCCTCCATTGATACAAGTGTGTTCCTCTGTCTTCAAATATGCAGGCTGAAATGTCCCCCCTGAGAAGGAGCGTTCTGCATCACACATGCATGAATAAAACACGCTCCATAAACAGCAGGAAGCCTGCGAAACATGGGATACATATGACCCAACCTGTGTGGCCCAATGGTTGTATGTTGACCCATGAACCAGAAGGTCAGGGTTTGATTCCCAGTCAGGGCACATGCCCGGATTGCAGGCTTGGTCCCCAGTAGAAGGCGAGCAGGAGGCAGCTAATCAATGATTCTCATCACTGATGTTTCTCTCTCTCTCTCTCTCTCTCTGATCAATAAAAATAAACTGCTGCTACTTGTTGAAGAAGTTCTGTCTGGTTATCACACGGGCACAGCCTGCCTCTTCAAAGGACCCCAGGGCCACGGTGAACTTTCCCAGGGGCCTCAGGGAGACAGCAGGACCACCCAGAGGCAGGTCCAGCCCCAGCAGGCGGAGCTGTCGGCCACTTCTTGGTATTTCTCATTCTCATTCACCCGAGTGCTCAGGTGGTCACCCCACTGGCCCTAATTTTGTCCTCACTGCTTAAGACCCACCGCCACTTCTGCCTGGCCACACCGATGCCACTACCAACAGCAACGCAAAGTAAGTCTCCTCAAAGTGCCCTCGGGGCCAGGGCCCTCAGACACGTCTGTAACTTAGTCCTCACAACCGCTCTGGGACGTGGGTCTCTCCCCCTCCAGTTTACAGATGAAGCAACAGAGGCACAGAGAAGTTAGGTTTCGGCTTATGGCCCCACAACGGGATAGGAGCACAGGTTCTGTGGGCCCTCATGCCTGCACTTCCTCCAACCCACCATTTGGCAGGAGGAAGCGGCCGCAGAAAGGCTGTGGGCCATGGAAATCCTTCGAATAAATTCTAAAGGAACCCGTGTCTGCAGGGCTGAGTTCCCGCGCTGAGCTTTAGCCTGCCTGTCACTTGGAAGCCAAGTGGCCTGAAGGAGACAGAACGGACTCAAGCACGTCTACACATACCCATGGGGACTTTGCCCCTTGCTCAGCGTGGGGGGACCTCGGGGCCTTCGTTTACCTGCCCTCAACTCAACAAGACTGTGGTCCCCCATCAGTGGAAATGGGAGCATGCTCTGGCATTTCCTCTTATCTGCCACCAGGGGGCGCCAGACACCTTCTCATGCCAGGTACTGCGAGTCCCCTGTGGCTGGAGATTTGCGGTTCCAGGTGGGAGGGTTCCTGGCAGGAGGGCACTTTGGCAAATGATTGGGCAGATCTGTGGGCATTACTGAAGGGCCTCACGCTGTGTCTGGCAAGAAAATGACCACTTCCAAATGCCTGAGCCTTCGAAATCATATTCTCCTATCAGACAGTATGATGATATGATAATCATATTATCCCAACCACTCACTGTGCCTTGACATCCCCAAATGGTATGATCTGTGGGTGATTAATCTTCCTAAAATCTCATGCAATCATACCCTCCCCCGCTTGGAACCACCAGGGGCGTCCTTCTTTACAACACAAAGGCCACACGTCGGCCTGGCAGCACCATGGGTAGGGGCAGGCCCGCAATGCCAGGCTGCACAACCACCGACCAGCCTTGGTGACCAGCCCCTGAGAGCAGAACTGGAAACTACCCCGATCTGGAGCAACACTGTGAGCCTCCTTTTCGTGGCAAATCGCTCCGGTTCTTCATGGAGAAGAGGGAACAGGAGGCAGCTATGCAAAGCCAGAGAGCAAAGTCTGTTCGGGCTGTGCGACTCCAGTGGGGTGAACTGAGGGGCTGGATGGCGCTCCTCCCACCAGAAGCCCTGGGCAGGCGGCAACTGGAGCCTCCAGTTTCCTTCCTTCCTTCCTTCCTTCCTTCCTTCCTTCCTTCCTTCCTTCCTTTCTTTCTTTCTTTCTTTCTTCCTTTCTTCCTTTCATATGTTTATTTATTTCAGAGAGAGAGAGAGAGAGACAGAGACAGAAACATCCATCGGCTGCCCCTGCTCGCCCCCCCACGGTGTGCCCTGGCATGTGCCCTGACTGGGAATCAAACCGTGACCTCTTGGTTCATAGGTTGACCTTCAACCACTGAGCCACACCGGCCGGGCGATAGATATTTCTAAGGGATGAAAAACTTCAAATATACAGGTAAAGAGAACAGACTAAAAGAATGAAGACCCAGAGACCCATCACGAACTCAACCTGTCATCCATGAACTAACTCCTGGTCAGTTTCCCACATGCACACCCCTCTGCGTCTCCTACCTCTGTGTTACTAAAGCAAACCCCAGACACCATTCAGTCCCCTACCATTTCAGGACCCATCTTTATTTTATTTATTTATTTATTTATTTTTTACAATCCCCTGGCTTCCCCTACCCCCCAGTGTCTTATGTCCATTGGTTATACTTATACACATGCATATAAGTCCTTCGGTTGATCTCTTACCCCCCTCCCTCCTGCCCCCCAACCCTCCCCGGCCTTCCCGCTGCAGTTTGACAATCTGTTTGAGGCAGCTCTGCCTCTGTATCTATTATTGTTCATAAGTTTATAATGGTCTTTATTATCCATGAATGAGTGAGATCATGTGGTATTTTTCCTTCATTGACTGGCTTATTTCACTTAGCATAATGCTCTCCAGTTCCATCCATGCTGTTGCAAATGGTAAGAGTTCCTTCTTTTTTACAGCAGCATAGTATTCCATCGTGTAGATGTACCACAGTTTTCTAATCCATTCATCTACTGATGGGCACTTAGGCTGTTTCCAAATCTTAGCTATGGTGAATTGTGCTGCTATGAACATAGGGGTGCATAGATCCTTTCTGATTGGTGTTTCTGGTTTCTTGGGATATATTCCTAGAAGTGGGATCACAGGGTCAAATGGGAGTTCCATGTTTTGTTTTTTGAGGAAACTCCATACTGTCTTCCATAGTGGCTGCACCAGTCTGCATTCCCACCAGCAGTGCTTACTTTCTTAGTATAAAAGCATAAACATTATCATCATAACATAGTCATCTTGACTAGTTTACGTTTTATTTTTAGCCCTTTGGGGAGGGGAAGGCA